TGGATAGATTTCAACCAAGGTAACAGTAGAAGTCAAAAACTCTTTCATAACATTGAAATACACACCAATAGTGAAGGTTATTTGGCTCTGTGTTTAGGTTTATATATTCATCCATATTGATTTGAATCTAAACGCAGAGTAAACATGACACGCTCAGTCCGCTTTACAGCAAAATGAATTGAGTTTGAACAAAAACCACACAATGTTTCACAGCGGTGAAAACTATTTATTTCAGCTCAACTAATATTCTGTCATCTCTGGTGAGGATCTACTCAAATATAGCATCTGCCTATTTTGATTTTGACTATTCTGATTGAGCAGCCCCTTTGTTATTTTTAGTATAAATATGTAGAAGTGCTAATATACCCCTTTAATCTGATTTGCTATAAATGGATTCCAATATCTATCTACTGTGTGTGTTGCACAAAGTATTTGGCTAACAAGTTGCTCCGTATTATTTATTGTTAGTCTCTCCTCTTCTATTTTAGCATGCTAGTACATTTTCAAGAACTTCAAGTATAGCACTACATTTTCTTCTTTTTAATTTGAAGAAATACTTCAGTCCCAGAATTTGTCTTAATCTCTCCTGCATAAATTGATAGAAAAAGTTTCTGACATTTCAGCTGAGTATTGATCCGAACCGTAGAGCTACTCTGAGCATGTCCGTGACTGACATACGTTATTCCAAAGCTAGTTCCAGACGTGTTTGAAAGTCTCCGAACCTCTGTTGGTGTTTCATCCCAGAGTCGGCTTCCCAAGAGCTCTTATGATGCCCTTTTGGCCAGGCTCTGTTGGACAGAAGGGCCAGGTCCGCTCTAGTTTCACGCTGTCAGATAAGATCAGTTTGTGTGTTGGATTTCTGTCACTGAGCAGACCAGGTTAGTGCTGACCTGGTACTAAGGTTTGGGCTTCAGGATCCAACACTAGTCACGCAATGCAGAACAGGAAGTCAAAGGTCAGAGTTTACTTTCTCCATCTTCTCAGTTACGTCAACCTTCACAGGGACCATCTTACAACAAATATGCCTAAACTTCTCTTTGTACATAAGCGATATTTCAGTATTGTAATATAGGAAAGCAAGAATAGTTAATGATGTTTTTCAAAGGTTGTAAAACTGAATGAATGAGGATTTAGTTCAAATTAGATTTCGGATGAGATTGTTGTGGTAAAACAATTGCAGGACAAAAAAAAGAATGACGATTCAGTCTCTAATTTACATTGTGCACACTCTCCCTTCGACCACATGTTAACAGTATTTTCATGATGTAAGACTCTGCCTTACTGCTGTACGGTCTATATCTTACAAAGACTGTTGAATGTGGTTGAGGCAATTTATCAACTTGCATTCTCAGTAACTTGAAACATTGGAGGAGAATTGGTGTAGTTTGAATTTTGGACGGATTCAGTGTTGAATAACTTTTGTCTTACCTGCTGTATTTTCTGTAATTCAGTGAGTCATTGCTACTGATGACTACAAGTTGGTTTTATTCAGCTCAAAATATTTCACTCATTATTTCATCCCTTTGACTCATAATTTAGCCAAACCTTAAACTTATTGGGCCAAAACACATGTCACGATAGGGTCTGGCCTGTAAACTGGATCTGTCTTTATTAATATCCTGTACACAATGTGGTTAAAGTCATACCAACTCAAATACAAATGTGCCAACTGTTCTTACAGAGCAGATGTTGTGCATTGAAGCTCTATATTATCACATTTAACTAGCTGTCACATAACCACAATGTCTTTAATAGGTTGACTGACATAAGCGACTTCTGAGTGGATCCCTGATTCAGATCAACAACTTGTGACGAAAGAATAATCAATTGTTGAAAAACTGGAAACTAGGAACACTTGCAACTTGGTAGAAAAAACACTGCTCCGCCCTATAGAGAAATGTTGTTAAATTATACATGATATAAGTTGCCAACTTCACTTTGATGATGTTTATACAAGCAACCAACTCTAACTTTGAAATACAAATGTTGTAATTTTTCACATCACATTTACCTCTGGCTTTAAAGAACATATGGCAAAACATATACTTAATATTTAATCTATATTTGTTTCTTTACGATATATTATGTTTCTCTTTTGTCTGTTAACATTTGTCATAAAATGTGAAACACCAGCTGTAGAGAATAAACAATCACCATCTGTTGCACACATAAATATATAGTGTGTGTGGGTCTCAGTAGACACATTTGTTTGAGTTGAATCTGGATGATTGACAGCTGTGTGTTCTAGGAGCTGACAAAGTTATATTAATAAAATCATACTAAAAGATAGTCATGATTATGAGAGGTAAACATTTTTGCTCACATTCATATTTTGCCGGTTCATGTGATTGTCAAAAGTCTCATAGTCAGATGTTCTCCAGTTGTGATACTGTGTTTCATTTGAGGTTTGAGGTACTAGACAGGGACTCACACAAAGAGAAATACTAATTGACAAAGACTACATTACCTATCTTAGGAGCCTCCAAAAATAAGTTGCTTCTCTGTAGCTGCTATGACACGTTTTGAGTTACAACTCTACACAAAACAAACAAATCATGGTGTCCCCCGTCGTACAGAGCATCGTGAGCCTCCAAGGCTTGTAGTCACTGTGCCCTTACTTAAAAAACAACAACATGTGGTCATGAATGGATAGTATTTTCACAGCAACTCTCTGTGGCATAGGACATTATAAGTGATTCTGCATCTTTGAAATGACCAACATCACCAAAGGCATCACTGGTATGGCCTCGTGAATGCACTGCAGTGGGAAACTTGTGCATTTGGTTTTAAAATGCATAGCACTGAAGATAATAATCATCATAGTTTGTCCCAAAGGACTGCATGGTAAACAAATCCACCCTTGAACCACAATCCAAAATCAAACCCCAATCGCATGAATCGCAAATTGCGAGATGGGAATAAAATCCTCTGCCTGTAATAATGATAATGATGGTACTTAAGTGAAGATGCGTGTAATCTGTCTGTAACACATGTGGGCCATGAATTATTAATGTTGCCTAATTTAAAGGAGGCTGTGAGAGGAAAAAGCCCCTCATCCCCGCAAAAAAGTTTGGAAACACCAAGATCCGGACTTCACCTCTGTGTTTCCTGTAACTTAGAAACATGTTAGGATAATGGCATAATAAGATAAATAAAAAATATATTTAAAAAAAGTCACAGAAACCATGTAAAGATGCATACTTTAAAAAAAGAGGGAAGACATGGAGAAAGGGGAAGCCAGAGAGGTTGCAGATTAATTCCTGTGCTTGCCTGCTGCACTACAAGTGGTCTGGGGCCGAAGTGTTTGTGGGGCTCTTGTGGTTTTTCAGCCAATAAATCCTCTGCACATATTTAATCCAGTCAGATGTGCTGCAGGAGAAGAGCACTGAAGGATGTACGGCCATTACTCAGCTGCCCACATCAGAGAGAAGGGCTAGATATCCATACATCCCCACCTCACTTGTTATAGGCATATCCGTCATCGGCCAGAGGGCCAGACACAGGAATCAAGGAGGTGTGAAAGTTTACTGTGAATGTTTATTAAAAAGGTCTGAAACACTGAAGGTTTGAAACGCTGTTATTTTACCATATGATGGAAAGTGTGAGAGCTAATCTTTAACCATTTAAAAAAAGTTTACATTTTGAAAGTCGAGTTGCTGAATAGTTTATTACACAGCCACAATAAAATGAAGATAGGAGCTGTTTGATTACAAGAAAGTAATTATAAGAGAATCTCTGCTGCTTTCCAACATTTTTTAATCTTCAGGTTTTCATTTAACTGGCAGTTTTTTTAAGATGAGTATTGAACCAGCACAAATACTGTTACTAAGTGATTGGGTTTTGACTTGGTATATTTATGTGGTGCAACTTACAACATTGGATGTACCGTTTTCTCTATTCAGTACTGTTGCAATACTATATTCATTTTCAATATCAATTTGGAGTAGCCTTTGACTTAAGATTTGTATTGCCAAACCAACGCTGTTCCTATTGTGCACAAGACAAAAAAGCCTTTGAATTGTTGTAACTTGGTATCCTTTCATTTTTTCTTCAGGTAATAACACTGTGTAAATCAAATCAAGATTGCTAATTCCAGCTGAAAATGTACAGAAAAGACAGAGAGAAAACAATTTAATTTCAGCTACACTATGGTGAACACACATCAGAGGACGATCTGAGACAGCAGCTTCATGACTGGGTTAAGAGATGGTTTTTCAGAGTGTTTTGTGTGATACACTTCCAGTATATGGTAAACCTGCGCCCTCTTCTGTTCATACATTGCTATCACTTTCTATATCAGTCCAAACATCCAGTCCTGCACCTACATAAATTGATCTCATCCTTACATTTAATTTTGAAAAGTTGCATTTTGAGCACTGCCCCCTCTCCCAAACAAACTAAAGTGAATCAATAAGGTTGAATTCTTCCTGTAAAAGAAGGAGTTACACTTGGAACCTTATGGATAATTAATATAATGTATCAAGTGCAGCACCATCAGGTCTGACTCCAACAGGAGGGTGATAACTCCTTTATATCTATTTATATATCTATCATAATACTGCCTTCAATTCTGTATATTTGTATATTGATATAGTGTATTCGAAATGTATACACTATAGATATACTTCATCATTGATATGTTTATATTCACTGTTTTGGGTTTATATTCTACTGCTGATATGTATATCTTTGTTGTATTTCTTGTTTTTTATTATTTTACTGTATTACTTTTGTATTTTTTAAAAACGTCTTATTCATGTGCATGACTTGTGTACATGCTGCTGTGACGAAAGCATGTCCCAAATTGTGATGAATCCAATGTATCTTATCTTATCATTGTATTGCTTGTTGATATGTAGATATGCACTGACAGGATTGTTTTTTTTATTTCGTTGTACCTGTACAATGACAATACAGGAATTAAATTCAAATCAATTTATAATTTACCGTCAGGCAATTTCAAGGTTAGCTCAGGGGTCCTTGTAGCTGCTACCGTTAGCTCAACAGCAGTTAGTCAGCCATTGGCTAGCGTGAGCCTGAGCATCCTTCTAGAAAAATACCACTGAAAGTGAAAGACTGCTTGCACACATTTAACGCTAAATCCGACACAGGAAATCTCTTTGAAGACAAAGAGTATAAAGGTATGGGATTCATGTCATCATCAACAAATTGCTGTTTAACCTTTACATTTTGTTTTTTTTAAATAAATCGTCTTTAGTCGAGGCGGTTGCAGAAAACGAGTTGTCGCAGCGTCTCGAAATGCTCTTTGTTCTTCACTGTTTTAAACGTTATTTCGACGGCATTTATTTTTGTTCGAAACTACAATAACTTTTTTTATGATTTAACTGAAACATTGTTACCTCGGGGTATTAGCCGCTAGTAGCTAATGCCCTTTTAACGGCTGCAGCTAGCTTCTCGGCTAACAATGGGACAAGGAGATTAGGACCAGTGTTTGCTTGTTACATTTGATGTAACGGTAGCTAGCTAAACTTCATCTTACACCAGTGAAATGCTAGATTGACTACGAGGCCAACGTTTTCAACGTTAACTAACATTGCATGACTTGGTGTTGGTTACGTATTGATAGCATATGTTTATAACGATAGCCGGTGTTTCCAAGGGAGCTGTGGTTTTTAACTTTGAATAGAAGGCCGACATTTTAATTTCTGCTAACCTCCTCTGTCTAACTACTCATTCAGTTCAGCGTATTTTCAAATAACTATCTATTTCCAACTAACCATATAACTACTTAACTAGTAAAGTGATGCCTTGGGGGTATATTCGGTTTTATTCGTTCCTTAACCCAAACCAAAGACGGGGTGAATTGCTGGATCAGATCAGTATCACTTCTCCTGGCCCAGTGCTGTGGGGTTTAGTCAGGCGTCACTGTGCTGATGATAACCATAGAACACATTTGAGATGCTAGTACTTTTTCTTGAGTATTTCCATTTTTAGCTACCTTCTACTTTTACCCCACTGCAAATGTAGAGCTAAATCGTAGACTTTTACTCCACTACATCCATTTGACCTTTAACCTTTGGTTAGTGTGCAGATTTAGGATTATGATGTGAAATATAATCAACACTTAAATAAGACTTTTGTTACACCTGGAGTAAATCCAACAGCTACAATTCACTATACAGCTTCTTTGAGCACCAGTAAAAGGTGGCAGTTAACCTGAATACCCCTGTAATGCAGTTTTAGTGATCATGTTTTCCAAAAAGTAAATGTAAGCCGTACAAGGCACATGTTTCTGAGTATTGACAGAGAAGGCTTTGTGAGTCAATATTATCTTAGCTTCTCCCAACACACATAAAGACATGCATAGAAATGTGTTGATCTGAAAATCAGATGATCTTATTGCTACCTTGTATCAGTGCAAAAAACAGATTACAAATTAGAAATAACTGATAACATTCCAGTATAAAATACTTGGCTTTTGTTCATTAAAAGCTACTCAAAATCCCCTAGCTATCCCATCTTCTTAAGAAATTGCAGAGTCAGACATGCTTTTGTAAAACTATAGTTTTCTCCCCCCTAGTTTCCTAAACACTTGTGCAGGCGCTATTGTCTTTGGTGACAAAGAATGGGGCAGTCCATGACGTATGCACTTAAAAATACACTTCTAAATGACTGAAGTCTCTGCCTGTGATCTGGACTGAAAATGTAAAATATTTGAATGCATGTTTTTCTCTCAATAGATGCCTTCAGCGATGGTTGGCAACAATGCTGTCCAGTCTGCCTCTCCAGACCTGGGAAATGGAAGTAATAATGAAGCCATGAAACAGATTCTTGCTGTGATTGACAAGAAGGTTCGCAATATGGAAAAGAAAAAGGTAGATCTACTTCATTAGAAATGAGTCATCACATTATTTTTTCTTGTTGAATTCAAAGCAGAATGTGAGATGTGTTTTTTTGTGAATGTGTTGCAGTTGACATCTTCAGGCAGAAATGATTATCTCTTGCTTATTTGGAGAACACAGATGATGATGTTTACTTTAAGTTAAAAAAGGTTGGAGTAGATATGTCAGTGGATTCTTGTAGTTCATTTTGAATGCAATCCATTAATAACAGCAACTTGAGCCATGAATCTAAGCTGAGTCAGAAAATGTATTTAATTTCAGCTTAACATTCTACTAAATACTTTTTTACATTTTCATAATTCAGAGTTAGCTTTTTTTCTGCAGACAGCAGCAGCCAATTATCTGTCAGCGTTCTTGCTTATAATCGTACCTCTTCTGGTTCTTTCTGCCATAACTTGTGTATAAGAAACCATGTCTATTCTGATTATATAACAAATAATAATTACGGTTCTCTCATTCAACTGTGCGAGATATCAATTTCTGTTATGCATATGGATTTTTTTCATCTGTCTCTTTTAACATTTTGTATTTTTCTCAATATTCCTACAGTCTAAACTGGATGACGTTCAAGCAAGGAAGAGTAAGGGAGAACAACTGAATCAGGATCAGCTGGTAAGCTAAGGCCATGACAGTTTGCATACAGCTTTGTTCAATTGCAGTTTGCAAATCCAATGAAAAACAACAAACCTTGAAAAAATAAAAGATTATAAAAGGATACATGTTGTCAAATGAAAACAGACTGGAAAATGGTGCATCTTTACAAGTTACTGTATCCTGAGAATGATTTTTTTAATGATTCCCAAATCTGTATTTTCTTTGAATGATGTATCTGAAGGAGGCCTTGGCGAAGTACCAAGAGATCGCCCACAACCTGGAATTTGCTCGAGAGTTGCAGAAAAACTTCATTGCACTGGGACAAGACGTGAGTAATGAGTTGACATTGCTCTTATAACTTGCTGATTTGTTGTTATTATTATTTTCAATTTTAAAAGTTAAATCTGTGTGTTATTGAACTGTTACTGCTTACAAACGTAGTAGACCCTGTCCCTCTCCTTAGTCCCTTTTTTAAAAGCAAATTATTTTTTCAGATCATGCTTTTAATATCACATTCACAACATCCTGTTGAAACTGATACTTTACTCCAGGGAAAAGACTCGAGGCTGCTTATCATAATAACGCAACATGACTAGAGTTCCTCAAATAAATAAGGCCTTAATTAAGCTTGTTATATTGGAGGTTGTCATTGTCTAAGAAGCAGTACTTCTTAGACTAAGTTTATTTCAGATTCTACATGGCCAAGAATGTACAGTTTTTCTTTTTGGGAAAACCACTGAACCCAAATGTATGTGTGTTTTTAGATTCAGAAGGCAGTGAAGAAGACAGCCAGGCGGGAGCAGCTGCAGCGGGAGCAGATGGAACAGCAGCGGCTGAAGACCGTTCTGGAGCTTCAGTTCTTACTGGACCAGTTGGGGGATGAGAGCGTCAGGCAGGACCTCAAACGGCCCGATGCCAGCGGCTCCCCTTTGCTCTCGGACGCTGACCTCACATCCCTCGATGAGTTTTACAAACTGGTGGGACCTGATAGGAACTATGACATCAGGTATGAAGGGCTGCTAATATTTAAGTTAGCATAAGTTATATGCAATCCTTGTAGTATCATTTAAACTGCTTAAAATATGGTCTTAATTATAGTTATAATATCTGAATAGCTGCTTTTTTACCTGCTCAGTGGGTATATATTTTCATACAGTGCCAATAGCATACTAACAATGTATATCTATTGTCGTGTACCTTGCAGGTTGACTGAACAATATGAAGAGGCCTCAGTACACTTGTTTGAACTGCTTGATGGCCGAGACAAGGCTGTGGCAGGGACCACATGTAAGTATTTTAATGGCTCTTGATACCTGGACCAGCATCCATTTTTTCCTGTCTTGAACAACTGGTTTCCAGGAATCAAGGAATTAAAGACAAATATATATTTTTAAGGATGTTATTCAAACTATAATGTGTTTTACAATATGCAAACTTGGTTTGAGTCTCTGGTCAAAATAGAGACAACGAATAAAAGAGACAATGATGTGATATATGTCTAGCTGTTATTTAGTATTTTTGCTTTTACTGTTGTTTGTTCCAGACAAGTCACTGAAGGACACTCTGGACAAAGTGCTGCTGAGTGGTTATTTTGACAGAGCACAACCTCATCAGAATGGGAGGTGCGAAGAGGAAGAGGAGCAAGAGGAGCAGACTGTAGTGGAGGACTCTAATGCTGTGAAGCAGCCATCCGAACCTGGTAACTAACAGCATACAAGCTTAAACATTAGCAGTGTTATATTTTTATTATATTCAAACTGTCCTGACATTTTTTTTTCTATAGAAGCAGAATTGGCTACCGAAAAATACACTGAGATAATTCCAGTGGAAACTACAGAGGTGAGATTTCGATATGTGTTGCATAACTAAAGCATAACAAATCCCCCAAAACACAACTATGCAAAGTTTTGTTGTACTGCATTTTACATGTATTTTAAATGTACTTAATTGTTTGCATTTTCTTGTGTTATAGTTTGTCAACAGACAGTTCATTCCAGAAACTACGTACAGTAGTACAGACGATGACCAAGTGGAGAAGTGGGCGGAGGAGGCCCAGGTAATAAAACACTACTGCCTCACCATAGTTCTTAATGCAAATATGCATACGCACTGTGTACTCCAATGTGTCTTTTCGTTGAATAGATGGTGAATTCCCTCCAGCACCAGCCCCCTCCCCAGCTGGCTGCAGAACCAACCGATGCTGAGGACCATGGCAGTCCCCCCCCAGCTGCTGACCCCGTGGTCAGGAAGCAGGTAGTGCAGGACCTCATGGCCCAACTGCAAGGAACGTACAACTTCATGCAGGTAAACATTTCCAGCATCATATAATGTGTTGTCTTGCCTGGACGTTTTTTTGTTGTAGTCTTCTTCTGCACTACCCTTATATCTGATCCATGACCCAACAGTGCATTTACTCTTTTTGGTTTTCCTAGGAGTCCATTTTGGAGTTTGACGGCCAGGCACTGGACCCAGCCATTGTGGCTGCGCAGCCGATGAAGCCTGCGCAGACTGTTGACATGCAGCAGATGGGCTGCCCTCCTGGTGAGTGTCACTTCATTTACCTGTGCAGATTTTACAGTAGTGTCCTCGTGGTGTTCTGTGATGTGGATATATTAATACTAAATGCATAATGTTGGTAACATTTTTTCCCTAATGTGCCTCTTTTATTTTCTTCCAAACAGCCCACTCAGAGTCCAGACTTCCTCAAACAAGTGCAGTGTCTGGACCGCAGGAAACCTCACAAGTGAGTAGAGTGGGTGCAAGAGGGAGGCGCTTGTTTATCCGTTTGCCTAAAAGAGTAGTAGGGTGAAAAAATAAAAAGTTCAAAAAATTATAAGAGTAGTAGTATGGTATGGGTTGTTTTTTGTAATATGCAGGCTGTATTTTTAAAAGCGCTACTAAAAGGAGTTAATGTAATGCTCACCGACGTGTCATGATTTAGTTTATAACAGGTAGATATTGGAATCATTTGAATATAATAAAAAGATAGAAGGGAGCTTTTAAGGTAAAAAATAAATCACACATCCCGTCTTTCCCACTGATCTCTGAAATCCTTGTTTCCTTGCCTTCTGAATCCCCTCCTTGACCCCTCCCCAGGCCTCGATCTGTGTGTCATCTGAACAGTCCCCCTCCCCATGTTCCCTGTCCTCTGCTTTCCCACCTGTCTCCAAACCCACCCACACTGGAGGCATCAATGTCAACGCCGCTCCCTTCCAGTCAGTGCAAGCGGTACGCTTTCTATCTGGGTATAAGTAAACGATCTGACCATGAACATGTTAGGACTTATTCAATACATTCTGTTTGAAACTGTCAGGTTCCATACTTGTTTCTACAAAATCGATGTACAGCCAGTGAATGGCTTTTTTGTAGCAGCGATTTAACAACAAACTATTTGTGCACCATCTAAATAGGTGACATTTCAACACGTCCCCTAATTTCCCAAACCTAAAAAAAAACGTTTGACCTTCAGGTGTTTTATGAAAATTGCAATTTTGATACAGGAACCCTTTCTTTCCATCCTCAGGTATTTAATCTGAATGCACCCATTCCTCCGGCTACTGAAGGCCAAGCAGAGCCTCTGAAGCAGCCCGGTCAGTTCCCTGGGGGCTATGGGCAGGGCTTCAGCGTTCAGTCAGAGAGTGCTGTGGTGCAGCCGGACATCCCACAGGAGACATTACAGTCAGGTGAGGCATCATCACACGCACATTATTTACTGTCATCTATACAATCAGAGGGAAAATGATCACTCACTTTGAGGTTGTGTTTCTTTTGAGCATGTAAACCATAAGATAAAAAATAATGTCTGTTAGAACAGGGGGGGTCGGTGCTGCAAGACAAAAATCCCTTCATGGTTTGATCGGCATGATTGTAGATCTTTCAGAATGCAGAAAGTGATTTTAAAATGCATAACTAACCCCCCGCCATTGCGTCATAGAAATGTTAAATATTTTATTTTCTTCTGTCTAGTTGTTGGTGGCTTCCAGCCACAAGAACAGGTCATGCCCTCAGCCGGAGGTCATGAAGAGTCCGCTCCAGGCGCAGGATTTGGACAGTCGGGACAGTCCTTTTATAACAGCAGGGGTGTGCCCAGGGGGGGGGCCCAGGAATGGCCGTGGTATGATCAACGGATACCGAGGATCTTCCAATGGATTTAGAGGTAAAGGCTTCATACTATGTTTCACAGAGATACAACAGTCATGTTTCCTTAGGATTCCTTCTCATGTCAAAACATTTTGAGGTTCCACAAGTCCAAATGTAAATGCTGTGTTTTGTCTTCAGGGGGATATGACGGATATCGCGCTCCTTTCTCAAATGCTCCCAGCACCGGTTACAGTCAAACCCAATTTAACGCGCCTCGGGACTATTCCAATAACACCTACCAACGGGTAAGAAGCCCTTTCTTAAGTTAAAGTTTGTGTCCCAAAACCTATTATATCTGTTATTAATTTAGTTTTCAAACGAAAAGGCTCTTGTGCGGGGATAGTGGTAGCATTTTGCCCAGTAGTATTTTTGCCAAACAATTTTCATTCAATAAATGACAACAAAATACCATCATTGTCTTAAAAATAGTTTTGTATATCCATTTTTGTTTCTTTAAGGAGGGATATCAGCAAAACTACAAGCGGGGAGCAGCCCAAGGACCCCGAGGCTTGTCTAGAGGAAATGCTACAGCATTGAGATCCTAAAGGATCCTGAGGACCGTCAAGTTGCGCCACGTTTAACATTCAGGATTTTGAATGTGTTCGCCCCAGTTCACTTTTATAACAATGTTTTGTTTCTCATTGGTAATCTTATTTTTTTTAACTCTTGGCCTACTTATCAGTCAGCCTGCTTAGGTCAGCCTGCTTAGGTCAGTCTAGACCCTCTCTATGTTCTAACACAAAATGCTGAACTTCACCACATGTAGGATTATCAGCGAGTCTGTGTGATATAAAACAACAAATAGATATTCCTGTAAACTTGAAAGATTTCATTAATTTATTTTTTGTACAAAATAAATGCAAAAAATACCCAGCCACTGTCGATCTGATTCCATGACAATGATTTTCTTTGCCCTGTGCTGTCAGCCACTTTTCCTCCTCGATCTCATAAATCTCATTAAGCTTTTTTTTTTAACCCCCGTCACCTCTTTGTACGCTGATTTGGTTGAGACTGTTTCAATAAAGTTGTGTTATATTACCTTCTGTGGAAGTGAACTGCTTTGCTGTTATAAATTTGTTTATTTTTATTCTGTCTGATGTGGTGTTTTTCAGTTCACTTGTGCTGGTAATAAAGGTGTTTTGGCAAGACCATCACTAACTCCAGTACCACTAGACAGTCTTCTCCCAGAGTAATCGGGTAATTAAAGCTACCATGTGTATATCTGAAGCAGATTTTATTACTTTTAATTTCATAAATCCTAGAACAATTTAACTAAGTGAATAATTACTGCGCCTGTGTTGAGCTCAGCCTGTTCACTTAATTATTCAGCTTTTACTGTATGTAAACCGGCAATTGAAGCCGGCATGTGTATAAAGGATCAAATGCAGTTTAAGATGGATAGAATAGATAGGTAAATACTTGGTAAGCACACTTTGCTATTCATTTTAACGGTGACATTGCCTTACATCTTAAATAGTGTATGTGCAGATTATCCATACTGAACTGTTTAAAGTTGTACTGCTGGAGTTTCATTGAGTGATTCATCTGTTCACAAACTGAAAGGTCATAATCGTTTATTATCTAGATTTGAGATGTAAAGTATTAAACAAAAACAGTCTGTCCATCTTGTGCAAAAAATGATGCAGTAATGTCTCAAAGGAAGGCTTGGCACACAGAAAACAAATGACACCGCACAAAGAGTAAAAGTTGTATCACATATCTAGATTGTGGATGAAGTAGCACCGGACCTGTTTTCTCACTGGATACAAATAAAGTCTTCAGAAAAAGTGGCAATAAGTCAACACTTGTTGCCATGGCCATTCTTCCAGCAAAAATAAACCACAACACTACATGTACAAAGCAACCTTGATAACGCACCAAGTACAAACTTGTTATTTGTGAGAGAAATATGACAAGTGCCAAGTTTGTGAAACACAAAGTAATAAACATGTAGTGCCAAACACTATGTTGTGAGCTAAAAACTAATTCAGAAGTTTCCATGATACCATTTTAACCGAAATTACTAGACAAAAAAACAGTGGTAAGATCAGACTCAGCGATGACCGACTCAGAGCCAGAACCGCTTTTTTTTTATCTTTCAATTTACAGCAAAAATGTAAATGAATCCAGCAGTTGGTTGAAGAAAATGTGGATCCTAAAAATTGTGATAATACACACTGGAGTAAAAGTATAAAACTTTACCAGCCAAAGGGCTTTATTAAAACAAATGATAAATGTAATATTTGTTGAATGTGAGATGTTCCTTACCTATGCTTATTAAAAAATAAAAAATGTCTGATTTCGACACCAAAGTCAGTTGGGTAAACAGCTAACCAGAATCGACATTAAGAAAGTAGCAAAAGTATTGGTATCAGCCTAGTTTCATGAGGAAAGTTTGGTGACAGTAGAAGCAATAGATAATGGCGGGAAAGGCATTATTTTTGCTCTTAATGCCAGCATAGAAAGTCTTATCAAAATGTCTATTGCAGTCCATTTCTATATTTGAGTACAGTGGTATACGTTTCACCACAAGACACACATGTAAACTAATCTCTTTTTAGAGATGTTTTGGGGTATTTCGATAGTACATTTAAATGACTTTTTACATCTCATTCCCTTCAACAGCTTCACTGCCCATATCCAACAGGTTATCTGAAACCTCTCAGCTTGTAGAGAAGGAAGCATGGCATTGTCAGAGGTTCTGTATCTTGAAAAGCAAACAGCAGGTAAAGAAAGCTCACCAGAATGATGTTTTTGTAAAATTGTATTACCAAACATTTCTAATGTAATCAAACACTCCTTGAAAATGTAAATATGCACATTTTAGGATGCACAGCCTTGGTTGATCATTTTATCATTTGTAAATCCGTTTTCTAATCGAAGGATTACAATTATCAAACACCGGTATTATTCAGCTCTCCTCGTGCTGCTCTCCTTCATCTCAAGTTTCCTCCAAACCTAAGAGTCATGCTGGTTAAAGAGGCCTAATACTCGGGAGGAACTGCTCCTCTGCACGCTGGAGTGGAGGTGCTTCAAATAGTCTGATAGTGGTGGTTCAAGTTCTGACAGCATTGTTATGGCACATTATGTAGGCCTTGTGCAGCCTCCTGGTGGCCTGGGGGCAGATCCTGGCGCGCCTGGGGGAGGCCTTGCTGGGCCAGGTTCTGATGGTGTTGTTGTTGTTGTTCATGGTGTTCCGGAAGTGTATTTTGAGGGTCTTGGGGTTCAAAATGATGCTCGGGCTGTTGGGCCTCTTGTTCATGATGCAACTGGTTGTCAACTTCGTGCACCTCTGGGATAGCATTTCCCTCAACTGTAAAAAGAAACAAGGTATACAGATGTCAGACAGTAAAATCAAACAACGATCAAAGTTAATATTGTGCAGTTTAAACTCACCGTGAACCTCGGGAGGGGGTTCTATTTTTTGTGATTTTAACCGTTCCATATGCTCCACAGCCTGTAACAAAATGGTATTGTTTTATTATATTTGGTGAGTGCAAGCAGTGCTGTAGATAGTCACAGAAACGTAATAGCATAAATAAAAAACAACCATAGCTAAAGGACACACTGATATTGAAACCAGATTTTGCATATATTTATAGCATCAGATTTGGACACATTCACTGTTAAACAAATATATTGTAGCAAACCTAGCCATTAATATAACAGTGTAGCACTCCTTACCTGTTGCAGCTCTATTTTCTGTGCATTCAGCTGCTCCTGCTGCTTCTCCAGCTCGTCTCTTTGTTTCTGGAGGTCGAAAGACTTTTCGCTGAGGTCCTGTTCCTGCTGAACCAGGTGATCCTCAAACTCCCGCATCTCCTCGTCTGTGTAGGCCTGGTTCTGCTCCAGAGTCTGAGGAGCACGGAGTGGACGTGACAATCAATCACTACTCCTACAGTCCTATCCTACATCTATTAACAAAATGGCTTTAAGATTACATTACTCTTAAATAATGTCGACATGATAAATATACTGTGTCTCACCTCCCAGCTGTCTGGCTCCAAGAACTCTTTCTTCTTAGTAGCAACCAGGAACTCATCTAAAGAGACCAGCCTGTCGTTGTTAGAATCCACCTATGTATAAGCAAGACAGGAGCAAACATGAATCACATATGCTTTAATTTATTGACAGACAAGGATATATTACAATTAAAATTACAGCCTAGCAGTTGCATGCCTTTTGCAACCAGTACAGTTTTCATTATTTCTATCCAAAGTGACATCACTATTATTACCAGCTGCAGCGCTTGTATTGTTTTTGCCCTATGAGTCTGTGTCTTTATAGTAAAATATTATCTTTGAGACATCTACTGTTGCAGTAACTACTACAGAAGTGGTTTGGACATTATTAGTTTCAGGATAACTTTCAGTTTCATTGTATAGGACATTTGTGTAATATTGTCATAATTAGCAAATACATGTTTAAAGGTAGGGTAGGTAAGTTTGAGAAACCTGCTCGAGATACACTTTTTGTTATATTCCATGGAATGCTCTTAACATCCCGATAGCAATGAATATCTTAAGTGCTTTGACAAAAAAAAATCCATAAAAAATGTTCATCATGTAATACTGTAAAAAGCACGACCAATCATGTTAGCCGGCCTTCCATCTGTGCACAAACTTATCTCGTGCCCTCATTGGTCATGTGCGCGTTCGTGTGTGTTGGAGGAGGGGCTCTATAAGGAAGTGGCAGATTTTCTCCGGTTGTGTATTTTCAAATTCTAGCGATCTCGAGCCGGTTTCTCAAACTTACCTACCCTACCTTTAAGTTATGGCCAACACAACATTTGAACAATAATTCTCCAAGCAGTCCTGAGATATCGTGTTTTAAACCCTTGACCACCAAACTCTTATCAGTTCATCCTTGAGTAATGCTTTCCCGAAAGATTGCATTCACAAAGATGGTACTGATGTGAGGTCACATGGTTGACCCTTTGACCCACAACATCGAATCAGTTCATCCTTGAATCTGCTGGGACTTTTCTGCCACGTTTGAAGAAAATCCTTGACTGACGCATGCATTAAACAATTGTTTAATATGTATATATGTACTGGGTGCGACTTACTGTACCTCATTCATAACATGCTCTCTCATACGTAGCCTCTCTTCCTCCATCTCCACCATATCATCCTCTTCGTTGGTGGGGTCATAGATTTTTTCCAGCTAAAATAAGAGACCAACAGTAAGTGAAAAGTCCATTGATTGAAACATAGCATATATTTAGAGGCCTTTACCTCTTTAGTAAACAGGGCCTCCAGCTCCTGCTCATCAAAATAGCCATCTCCATTGCTATCTGCATTATAACAACATTGAGAAAAAATAAATGATTAATATTATTATACAATACATGTGATGGAGAGTAATGGACATCATCCCTTCATTCTTTACAAGTTGCAGTTTGGTTAAGGTCTTACCATGCAGGTTGAAAAAGGTCTTAGGGTCAAAGTCTTCAGGGTCCAGGCCATCAGCTTCCTCCCACACCTCTTTCAGTTGATTCTGACTACCCTGCACAACATAGAAACATCCATTTCAATGACAGATGGAAAAATAAAGACACATTTAAACATTTAGTAGATAGCTCACATGGTAGGACTGAAAAAACATGTAGTTTCAGAAACAACATAAAATAGTACAAAGAAAGAGATTCCCTTAATTGGCTGAAACAAAAAATGGTGTGTTGTCGCGTGTGTGTGCACCTGAGACAGACTCACCGGGTGGTTGACTTTAGGGTGGTCGGCGTGCTTTTTCCTCAGCTCGTCATAGTGCTCCTCCTCTTTCTTTCTCTCGTCATCATCCAGTGTCTTCAGGTGTTCCCGTCTGTCGTGGTCTTTCGTCATTTCATACTGCTTGAACTCCTCGTGTCTGTCTTTGTCAAAGTTCTCCAGATCATTTGTTGCCTTGATACATAAGAGGAAAATTGGGTTTGAAATAATGCTTTATTTAAATGAAGTAAATAGCATGCAATGTCCTGATTAACAGTTTTTAGGGAATCCATTTTTCTTTTTTTTAGCCCACCTAGAAACTCAACTAACCTTATTTATATTTGAAGCGGCATGCCTTCAGTATATAGTGCTGTTTAATGAT